ATATATATTAAAAGTTTAATAAAAAGATTAATAAAAAAGATTAATAAAAAAAAAAGATTACTAAATATAAAATGGATTACACTTTCAATGTTCTGTCTATGAATTTTTCCAATCGACTGTTTCATAGAAAGTACCCAAAACTCCACCGAATTTCAAATTAATTTCTTCGTAGATTGTTTAAACATTTAGATATTTATCAAACCTTAACCTCCCAAATATGCACGTTAAAGATTTTGAATGAAACCTGTCGTGTAATTGATTGGAGTTGTTGTAACTTCTTCCTTTAATGTCGTTCTTATCATTCACCCCTTAGCCATCTATATCTAGAGACGAGACGCATTAAATTTGAGCAACATCTAGCCGACACACTGGGGTTAAAAATAGGAAATTGAAATGATACATATGACACACTCATATACTCTCTCCCACCTCACTTCCTCACTTCGTTAATTTTACGTATACTTGATGAGGTCCGTCAAAAACGTGTGAATGTCTTGTCATTTTTCATTCCAGCTTTTGGAAGTAAAGTCTGATGATCCAGAACCCTGTTAAAGGGGTTATGGTGAAATAGCTTATTACATGGAATCTTAACGTGGTCTGTTTATTATTCAAAAATAATATATATATATATATATATATATATATATATATATATATATATATATATATATATACAGTTTTGCGGATAACCTAGAAAAAATAATTAAAAACCATAATAATATGGTGTTTAACAGATATAAAAACTCAAAGACATGACGAAATGCGTTAAATAATACTAAATATCATACCACCAATACTAATGTGTGTTACTCTACGAATCCCAATTATTGTCCATTGCAAAACAATTGCCAAACTATTTTCCTGCTTTATAATAGTACCATTTTTTCATTTAAAACCCCGAGTATTAAAATGTTCTACATTGGTAGTACTAAATATCCATTTAAAAGCTGTCGGTACCAGCATTGTTTTTTCCTTCAAAAATAGTTCAAATAAACATGCTACCTCGCTGTCCAAATACTATTGGAGTTTAAATGAGTAAAACAAAATTCCAGCTGTTAAATGGGAATTAATTGGAAGAGATCATAACTGTAATTCTTTATATACACCATGTTATCTTTGTCTCAATGAAAAGATAAACCTTTTACATCAACGGAAAGAGCTCACTGTTAACTGCAGGCATATATTACCTTTTAACTTGCTTTTTAGCTAGACAGAATATTGTATATCAATATGAAATGGTATTGTAAGTCTGTATTTTTTTTTGTCCTTAAGTTTTCGATTATTAATATTTGTGCCTTTTTGACGACTAGTTTGCGTTGGAAGATTGAAACTTAATGAATCTGTTTATCGTTCTTATACTTGCGGGATCATATATTCAATGACATTTATGTGCTTGTCTATTATGACATGATGTATGTATGTCTACATATTTCACAGTATACATAAGTGAACATTAAAGTCAACATTCAGAGGCAACAGGCTGTTTCATACTGAACGCAATCGCCAGGCTGATATATATATATATATATATATATATATATATATATATATATATATACGAATACAAGGTCGGTATAGATGTAATAAACTTCCAGTAACCAAAAACAATATTTTTAAAAAGTAGTCAATA